ACCGAAAGGTAAAACGGACCAGCAGAGGCAGACCCCGAGGAGCCTGTGGAAGGTGGCCCCAAGCCCCAAGGGCAGTACTTACAGGGCACCTAGGGAAGGCAGCCCTAGGCGCATGCAGCCCGAGTACTGAAGATAACTCCTGGCTCTCGCACCCACAAAACTAACACCACACTCAAAGCACAGTGCAGTAGCGACACCGGAGCCAGAGCACACGACCACCGCCAATAGCATCAGCCTCAAGAACTGAGGTGTGGGTAGCCGGCGCGGGGGGTCTGGGGCTCCCCCTTCCCCCTCCCGGGGAGGGGGGAGCTGCGCAGACAGCGGCGCGGCAGTGTGTGACGTCACACTAATTTGCTTGTTTTCGGTTGGGGAGTTCTATCCACTAGTTCGGTATTAGGTAGCAATTTTAACCAGAATAGGGGTTTGTTTTGGGGCGCTTACCTTTCTGGGTGCCTGTTCCGGTCGATGGCAGACATAGAATGCTTCCAACTACACGGGGGCTTCTATAGGCCATTGCTCCCCTTGCCTCTCTGAGGGGGCCCGGTTCTGGCCGTGGTCCCCGGTAGGCCTAAGAACTCCATACACATGACTGATGCCAAAGTCTGACATTAGCATATCAGCCTGGGATAGCTCCGGGGAGCCGACGGGGCTCCCCCCAGAAAATAAAATAAAATATTACTGAAATTAACTGTCAAATTGGTATAAAAATGCTTAGGCTAACTCATCCTAACCCTTGCACAGAAGCCCTCCAGAATTTCTTTTGTAACAGTTCTGAGTGCACTGAGAGTCGGTACAGTATCTCGCAAGTGTCTGTTCTAATTAAACCACTCTTCAAAGTAGACTGGTTATTACTCACCACTCTGCTGCTTATATGCTCCGGCAACGCCTCATCGTTTGTATTCGGAGAATACCTGTATTCTCCAAAGGTTGGCAGGAATATTAACTGGAAGTAGGGAAAGGTTTGAGTTCCATAATTAATACTAAGAGCTTTGCTTCACTCATAAGGCTAATGAGTTTGGAGCGAGTATATTACTGGGATAATCTACTCGCTACACTATTGAAATCGTTTAACAACCAGGTAACAATCCCAACGGGGGTTTAGGAGAAGAGCGACCCAATAACTACCCAGGTACCCCCAGCTAGTTCTCAATAAAACAAATACAGTTGTAACGTACGATTATGTTACGTTGTTGGGTAGATTAGATACACAGTGTTTAGCGAGTTTCATATTTATTTAGTAGTCCTTGATACAACAGCGTCGTAGACATTGAGACGGAGCTTGGAGCAGACTTGTGATCCTGTGGTCCTGGGTTCGATCCCAGGCGCTGGTGAGAAACAATGGGCAGAGTTTCTTTCACCCTATGCCCCTGTTACCTAGCAGTAAAATAGGTACCTGGGTGTTAGTCAGCTGTCACGAGCTGCTTCCTGGGGGTGGAGGCCTGGTCGAGGACCGGGCCGCGGGGACACTAAAAAAAAAGCCCCGAAATCATCTCAAGATAACCTCAAGAAGATAAGCAGAGCAGAGAGCTGTGTGGCCGGAGTCGCGGAGCTCTATGTGGGAGAGCGTTGTAGCTGGATGCGGTCCTAGTCTGCTGCCTGTTCTGTGTCAAAGCTGTAGTGTCTTGGAGACGATTAGGACTGCCTACACCGAGTGCTACATTCTTGACTGGAAATTGTACTGTTTGCTATTCTCAAATCGTTTGCTTATATACGGTAACTACACCTCACAATAAGATAGGAGGGTGGAAAAACCGTTACCTGTAAATAGAGATAGTTTTATAGCTTGTGTAGTTAAGTGCTAATTAGTTATGTCATTAAGATGATGAGATAATGGAGCGAGTATAAGTTTACTCGCTACACAGTATCTGCACATGATTGCACTTCATTATATAGAAGCATCATTTTATCTTAGATTTGAGTAACAAGATGGAAGAAAATATTAGAGAATAAGGGAGAAGTTTGTAAAACTGAAACAAATTTCAGGTTCCAATTCTTATTTTATGTTACTCATTTTACAGTACTATCTATACCTTTGCAACCCATCCTCATAATAGAACGTTGTATATTGACATATATTCTTCCTAAGGCCAAAAATGCAGACGATGAGTCACAATGTGGCTGAAGATATACTAAACCACACACCAGAAGATGACATGACAACGTTTCGGTCCATCCATCCATTATCAACTTGATAATGGACCAGGATGGACCAAAACGTCGTCGTCTCATCATCTGGTGTGTGGTTTAGTCTTCAAGGCCAAAAATTGTCGTACTGTGCTAGAAATGGTGAAGTGATTGCGGCTCGTGAAATTCACATAATGTTCCATTTTGGGTCCTCTGGTAGGTTAGGATAAGGGCACTCTAGTAAGACAGTTTCTTGACAATGGGAAACCTTAGGACGGGCTGACTTTTGAGTTCCATCCAATTATTAGTTTAAAAAAATAATTAATTTGTATTTTAATATCTGCTGTAATTTCTAAAACTTATGACATTAACTTCATTAATCTATTATTTATTTATTTATTTATATATATACAAGAAGGTACATTGGGACTGTGAGGATACATATCATAGTGAGTACATTCTTGTAAAGCCACTAGTACGCGCAGCGTTTCGGGCAGGTAATCAGTGTAGGTAATTAGTATGGCGGGTAATTTTGGTCTAGGTAATCCATACATAATATTTAATAACAACATTTAAATTAACAGGCATCTGTGCTCAGCACTTTATATTAAAAGTACTGAAATAATTTTAAATTGTACTTATGTATACCTGTATTTTCTGCATTAACCCTCCCAACTCCACACTCCCTAAACTAGATCACTTTCCTGGATTGCATAAAAATCCACAAATTCTGTTTTCATTCTATGTTATTCTGCATTCTGATGTCAGGGAAATTAACGAAAAATGGCAATGCCCTTATTTAGTGTCAATTTTCTAATAATGCCCAGGTAGGAAACTAAGGATTAAAGTATTTTTCCAATATGGCAAATGAATGCCAGAGGCCTCTAGTCTCGAATAACATCCATATTGAATCTTTTGAACATTTGACTATTATGTGGCACATCTAGTCTCCCATAAATGATTGGCTATCACTTCTAGGCAACGGGAGTAGTTTAAGGGTTAACTGTATGAATAACAGGTATTCAAGTAAAGGAAAAATATGATATTATAAGTATATAATAAGGATGCATAAATATGCTATTATGTAGAGATTAAAATGAAGTTCATTATTGCTTAGAACACATCAGTACATAAATGAATGCAGGTGCTGCAAGGGAATAGTTATACAGTATCTGCTGTGCCAACCTCATCTTGAGGTTACCTACTTTAATACCAACTGACTAGAATAGTTTTAAATAATTGTGCATTCAGATCAATAACAAAAACTATAGTTTCTACAATATTTTTAAATGCTTAATAATTATGTTACACTTAATAATTTAGCATAGGTATCAGTATGACCAATACCTTAAACTAAATACTTTTTTTTATCACAGGTAATAAAGAAATGTATCCTAGGGCAGGCATATCCTACATAACAAATGTCTTCAAGTACAGTACAGTATCTTTATAAAGAGAGCAGGTATTGTTTAGTGTACATGATTGAGATACACAGGACAAGGTGAGGGTAGAGAACACGAGTGAGTGGATCATATGAGGTGAAGGTAGGTGGAATTTATGGCAGTGTCATAAGGCAGCGTGTTCAAACCTGGGTGGAGCACGAACACGTGGTGGGTGGGGCGTGGGCACGTGGTGGGTGGGGCGTGGGCACGTGGTGGGTGGGGCGTGGGCACGTGGTGGGTGGGGCGTGGGCACGGGGTGGGTGGGGCGTGGGCACGTGGTGGGTGGGGCGTGGGCACGTGGTGGGTGGGGCGTGGGCACGTGGTGGGTGGGGCGTGGGCACGTGGTGGGTGGAGCATGAGGTGGGTGGGGCATGTGGTAGGTGGAGCACGGGCACGTGGTGGGTGGGGCGTGGGCACGTGGTGGGTGGAGCATGAGGTGGGTGGAGCATGAGGTGGGTGGGGCATGTGGTAGGTGGAGCACGGGCACGTGGTGGGTGGGGCGTGGGCACGTGGTGGGTGGAGCATGAGGTGGGTGGGGCATGTGGTAGGTGGAGCACGGGCACGTGGTGGGTGGTGTAGAAAGAGTACTAAATATTTTCCTTCAGTAATTGTACATGGTGGAAGGAACAACCTTCAGAAGAACTTTGCATGTGGTAAAAATCTTGCTAGCTTAGACTTTACTTGATTGCATTTATTAAGAAGACATTATGAGCATGGCTCTCTCTATATAATAACAGCATAGTAATTAGAAAATGACTTGAGGCCATGTCTACACATACAGGTATCTGGTTACACTGCTGTTGCCAACTTGAGTTAAAATAACAGAGGTGGTGGTTTCAATTGATAAACAATTTATCTGAAACTATAACAATCAAGTCATTGGTGCCATATAAATAAACGTCTAAGAGAACACTCTTAGTCTATCTCCAATCCTTCGAACAGAATATGGGCTTTACAAATCACATTTAACTGCCTGATTAGTTCTTGAAGTACCTGTCCAACCACTTGGGCTGGACGATAGAGCGACGGTCTCGCTTCATGCAGGTCGGTGTTCAATCCCCAACCATCCAAGTGGTCGGGTACCATTCCTTTCCCTCCGTCCCATCCCAAACCCTTATCCTGACCTCTTCCCAGTGCTATATAGTCATAATGGCTTGGCACTTTTCCCCGATAGTTCCCTTCCCTTCTTGAAGTACCTCTTTTTAGTCTTATTACATTAAGCTCACACATTTTATTAATTATTTTGACTTTCCTCATAACCCAATCCATACCTGTAAAGAATAACCATATATCATCCTACATACGGTAATTTATTATATTTTATGCAGCTAAATAAAGTTTGCAGAGCTGCCATATTTAGATTTTACTTATCCTGTATCAATTTGATATGTGAGATAAACGCAGCATATTTACTAATTATGACTGAGTATAAGGTGGTTTGAAATATTTTATTTTAAAAGCTACTAACTCTTGTCAACAAACAACTCAATACAATTAATCAGGGCTCATGGTAATTCCATGCAAAACGATATCCAATGAACCTGCCTTCATTCTTATTTAATTTCACACACATTTCTCAAGCATGTATTAGAAATGCACATACCAATCATATTAAACATAACTTTGTTATCTAGTTTATTACTCGGGCAGTAAGTCATCACCAAGTTCTTCATCAGCAAAATCATCCTCTTCTTGTTTTCTCCTAAGGCTTGTCTTAGGCCGTTCTTGCAGGGGACCGAGAGGATCAACATAACTACTATCTGCAAATTTAATCAGTTATTACCTTTTATTCAACTCTAAAAACCTCAAGACTCAACCTCACAACCCTGATCAATCTCTCTCAGCCACAATCTAACCCCTCTTAGCCAAGGCTCGATTCCCCCTTGACCCCAACTCAACCCCCTCTCAACAAACTTGGAGCTGCTGGATATACAACATACTGAAATGAAGAATTCATCAAAGATCTCACCCAAACATCTTGGTTATCACACCCAGAAAGTGAAAACAACTGTAAACAGGGAAAATACACCCGTCCATTCTGCATCACACAGTAGTTTGATAAGAGCATTCCTTGGCAATCTTTGGGTTGCCAAAGAGGACTTGTAAAGACTGGAGTGTGTATGATTTTAGCTGTTATACAGGTCACTTTAGCTAGATCCAGTGCTAACTAGTCCAAGTAAGACCATGCAGACATATTTCAAAAGGTCCATATGATCTCAGATATCAACCTTCTTGTTTTGCCCAATTCACTCCCTTCATAAACAGTGGAATCTTACAATAAGAGGCAAGAAAGTAAGATAGCTCAGATAATATTTTTCTGAAAGCATAAAATTAATGCAGAATCACTTGGAGCAGGCAATAAATATTTATAGGAAGGCCTCAATGAGGAAGTATGTACATGACAAGGGTAACTAATGTGATAAATCTAGAGAGTAATATGGTAGAATCCAGGGGGTCTTGCAAGAGATTTTTCCCAATGAATCTGGATTTAGTTAGAAGATTCCTTTTAATAAAATGTAATATTTCAATATTACCAATGCTTTTTAAAGATGTACAATTACAATTAAAAGTACAATTATAATCTTAAGCAATACTGTAGAACATATTCTAACAAAAAGCTAAAAGGAAATTTAATTTATAACACATTAATAAAAATGTATACAGACCAACTTCTTTATTTGCTGGAACAAAAGGCTCATTCTCCTCTAGGTCGTTGAGTGAGAGTCGTGTGGCCCTCCCACCACTAAGTGCTGAACCTGGTATACTACGGGCACTCCTGGAACTGGTTCTGGAAAACATACTTTATGTGAAACAACTGCTCTCAAACTATTTATGGAGCACAGTCAAGCTTACACCATTTTTAACTAATCTACTTACCTTCCATGCAATTTCCTAATTTAAAACTGATTAACAGCCTCAAACATTATTTACCTCAAGTTTATCAAGCCCGTGGCTAAAACCAAAAGAACAAAAAACCAGGGTTGAATGTAATGAAAAACTATTCTCTCGGTGAGCCTTGGAGGCTCCCTGGAACTATCGGACTAACATGTGATACATTAGACAAGCGCATTATTCAATGGAGTTCAGCCTACCAGGGACCATGAGCCAAAACCAGCCCCCCCCCCCTTCCAGAGAGGTACAGGGAGCAATGGCCCCTGGAAAACCCCCCTGTGGTTGGGGTTTTTTCCTTATCTGAAATCGACCAGGGTTAGGCACCCAGACAGGTAGGCATAACAAAACAGACCCCACATGGTAAGAAAATTGCAAACAAAATCCAAACAGAGAGGTAGAACTCCCTCCAATCCCAAGGACCCCTCCAGAAAGCAGCCGTTTCATTCTTTGCCAGAAAAGAAGAAGAAGGCTGTAACTGAACAAACCAATTACCAGGACCGAAAGAGCAGAAACCCCTGTGCCGGAGTAGAGCATGAAGCTCACCAACCCGACTCCCAGAGGCCAATGCCAACAGAAAAAGAGCCTTGGAAAAACAATCTTGAACCAAAGGTGCTACCACGAACCGAGGAGAAGGGAGATAGGAGAGCACCCTGTCAAAGGACCAGGACGGCTCAGGTGGTGCATGAGCGGGCAGGAGGTGAAACACAGCACGAGAAAGCTTATGGAATGGGGCAGAAGTGACATTCACCCTAAACACAAGCTGCAGCGACTCTGCCAGCACCGCACAATAGGAGGCGACAGTATTCGGCGTCAAATGACGGTCCTGAAAAAGCCAAGAAAGGACAAGACAACCCGATCAGAAATAGAAGACAACCTACGAAACGAGAGAAAATGGTGGAAAGAATGCCAGGATACTTCATATTGTCACCGAGACAAAGCTCTCAGGTGGGTCACCATCAACGAAGCCACCTGATCATCATACAAGTGGTGTTAAACCAGCAACCTGGGATTTCCCCCCCCCCCCCAAAAGTAGCTGAAGGCGGAACCGTAGCTGCAGCAATGCCTTTGGAGAGAAGCGATTTGAGAGTCCCAAACAAGACCCAGCCAGGTCCGAAACTGGGACGAGACCAGACAGGACTTACCGCGTCCCAGGTAAGACACACGAATACGTGAGGTGCCAGATTCAAGCCAAAAGGAAGGCAACATAAGTGATAAGCCTGATGCCCCATTACAAAACCTAACCAGTACCTGAACCCCAGATGAATGGGAATGTGCCAATACACATCCCTGAGGTCCCGGGACACAATCCAGGCACACTGCTCTAACAGAAGCCAGACCTGAGACAGAGTGGTCATTCGAAAGGACGGGCAAGGAATCCAGGGATTGACAAGATAAGACCAGAATGAACTGCAGATCCGTGCAGTCCCGTTTCGGCACTGGAAACCCACCCAAGGGACGGGGTCGAGACACACTTTAAGATGACCCGATGGAGTGCAGGGATAGAAGGCTGCCCCGCCAGCCACGAACCCCCCAAAGGAGGAGGAGCTGCCCAATGCCACCACAGGCCAGAGGACACGACCCGAAACGCCCACGAATTGTGGGACCAGGTGTGAGCAAACAGCGCGAGCCTCCCCCCATCAACGGGGCGAACTGTGAAAGGGCCGACGCCCTCTACGAGATGCCGGCCGATAAGCAGAGCGATCATCGTGCAGAGCAAGGTCTTGTTAACCTGTTAGACCCAAACCTAACAAGGGAGAGATCAAAACACTGAAACCTCTGTGACGTGTAAAATCACCAGGTCCTAGCAGAGGGCCACCAAAATATTATAAGTGGTCACGGCCCTTGTGGATTTGTTCATTTGATGCATCACGTTAGTGTGATCTGTGTGTGTGTGTGTGTGTGTGTATGTGTGTGTGTTATTATAAGTGGTCCTACAGCCACACCAGACAGACCCTTATCAGGCAAACAAAACAGAAAGTAAAAGAAAAACCTCGCTACCAACGTCTGGGGGACTTTTGTATCACAGTACAACGTCCCTCAGAGGAAACAGGAGCCAGCTGCTTCATAGGTAAGCTGGCTGTGCAATCCCTTGATGTCCCAACCAGCAACAATACCATCCCTACCCAAGGCCAAGCAAGGGGACACAAAACCCCAGCTGGTCCCTAGGGCGAGGTAAATGCTGAGCAGCAAAAATCCCTACAGAAATGGCATCCTGAAAGCACCAGGGAAGAGAACTCCGACACCCAAGGGAAGTACTCACAGGGCACTTAGGGAATGCTGACCTAAGTGCATGCAGCTTTGGAACACTTAAGTGCAACTGGCTACCACACTACAAACAGCAGAGGACACTACTAAGGCAAAACTCTGCCAGGAAACCAAGGCCAAAGTTGACAACTGCCCCAGATCACATTAACCGAAGAACTGGAGCAGCTGGGTTGAAGGCGTAGGGGGGTCTGGGTCTCCCCCTCCCGGGAAGGGAAGGTCTACATGGACGAGCGGCGAGGTGTGACGTTTGCTTCTTTCCTTGGAAATTGAGGGAGTTCTGCCTCTCTGTTCAGTTTTCGATTACAATTTTCTTACCATGTTCTTACTGGCAGAAATCTGTTTTGTTATGCCTACCTTTCTGGGAGCCTAACATCGGTCGATGGCAGATAAGGAAAACCCCCAACCACATGGGGGGGGGGGTTCCAGGGGTCCCTCCCCCCCCCCTTTAAGGGGGGGAGGGTTTCCAGGGGCCATTGCTCCTGGTGCCCCTAAGGGGGGGGGGGCTAGGTTCTGGTTCGTGGGTCCCGGTAGGCTGAACTCCATTGACTAATGCCCTTGTATAATGTATTGCATATTAGCCCGATAGCTCCAGGAAGCCGGAGCGGCTCCCCACAGAAATACTGTATTGCCGTGAAAAAACCTGCCAATGATGAGACCTCGGGTAGACTAAACAGATCACACCACTAGACAGGAGAAGCAACTGAACACTGTGCACATAACAAAAACGCACATCTAGACACCAGGCCAAAATAAAAACTTGATATGAGAAATATTACTGATAATGCTCTACTGTACTAACATGGAAATTGAGGAAACTGGATGTGAAATAAGCCATGCCTAGCATAAATGCCCAAGTCCTGACATAAAAGTACCTAGGCATCATGCATGAATGCCTAGGTACTAGACACAGTGAATTATTATTATGAAGCGGGTTAACTCAAGAGGTGGATCACTTCTGTTGAAAAGCCTCAATAGACCAAGCACAGGAGAAAATAACTCTGGTCACTGGTCAATGCAAGTCCACACACACAATGGGCATATTTCCACACACAAAAATCGTAAGACTATCACGAACATAAAACACAGAGTTTCTAAGGATGTTGGTGTTGGAACTTTCACCTGGTGGTAGATGGTGGTAGCAACGTAGTTGGCAATTAAGATAGTTACGCAGGGTACAAGTTGGTGATTGCTCTAATACCAAGTTATACCTGAAATAGCTTTTGAATTTAGGTAAAGTACTTTTCTGGCTACGTTTTGGGCTGAACTGAGTATTCTCTGGTGAGTCCCGATCATAAGTTCAACCTAACAGAGATGGTTTAACTGCTGCAGATGTGACTGATGTAGATAGGAACTGAATGGGATAGACAAAAAACCAGCGCTGAATGTAATGAAACGCCATTTTCTGGGTAAGCCCTGGAGGCTCCTTGAAGCTATCTGAACTGATATGTGCTATATTATCTTGGGGTCATCAGTCACAGGAGTTCTTATGCTTACCGGGAACCACAAGCCAGAACCTGGTCTTCTGAGAGGGATGCAGGTATCAATGGCCTATGAGCACTTTACATTTAAAGTATGTCATAATTGCCATCGACCGGGAAAGGACCCAGAAAGGTAAGCGAGTCAGAACAGACCACTGTCTGGTTAACCAGTACAATCTACATCCCAAAAGATCAAAATAATTCTCCTAGAAAGAAACCAAACAAGCAACCCCTCATGCAACAAGCACTTCCTTCTCTCCCCCCTCATGGATGGGGGGGAACGGGGAGCCATCAGCCGACCACTCCAGTTCTTTAACGATGAAAAACCATCGACCGGAGGGAGGGTGTCAGGAAGCCTCTGGGGCTCACCTAGAAAATGGCATTTCATTACATTCCATGCTGGTTTTCTGTGGGAAGCCCCGTAGGCTCACTGAACCCGACAGGGATTCAGAGAGAAGCCCCAAAGTAGTAAGTAGGAGGGACTTATCCAGGAGGTGCCAGCACTGTACAGTATCCACTCAATTTAACGGCCTCTTTTATACCGATCTGCCGGTAATAACGACCGGTTTGGGAGACCGGCATTTAGAGCCTCATATAACGGTCTGGCGGTAGATATTACCGAAGGTCGGTATTGGGTTTGTCTTTGTATCAGAGGGTCCTCACATGGCAAGCAGGCCGCCTACCCCTTTCATCCCCTCCCTCACCCTCACTGAACCTCTACCTCCACACCCTCACTGCCTCCCTCCCCCCCCCCCCCCCCCCAAGACCCTTCTGGGAAATGGCTCAGTAGACTGCCAGCCAGCCAGAGACAACCTGGAGAATATCCATCTAATAAAGCATTCATGAAACAAGTATTTTATAACTTTTTATTATCCTAATAATATTACTAAACAAAATCTGTAAGCAAAAATATATATGATGTACATCCAGAATAAAATAAAAAACATCTGGTTAATTGGGTCAAGCATTAGGCTTATCTCTTCCCTTCCCCACCACCGACAAACACACCCCCACCCGCCCCCCCCATACTTCCCATACACACGCTCTCTCTGCTTCACCTCAACATACATTGCTCCATCCCTCCCTCCCTCTCTTCTTCCCCCCCTCCATCCAACCATCCCCCCCTCCTTCCCAGCTCCCTCCCTCCATCCAA